ATGAAAGGTCTTAGTAATGATCTGTTGAGTACTCAAGCTTGTTCCTTTGGGTTTGTTTTTTCCTTCCCCAGCGTCTGATCTATAAATCAATATGGGAAAGAAAACATGAGAGAGCAAAACCAGTGGCTTCTAGTAGCAAGAAACCAAATTCTGTCTTTTCTATGCAGTGTGGTAAGTTCTCCAAGAGCAACACTGTTAAAAAAAACAATAATATTTTGCAGAAATATTACTTTCTCTACTAATTACACGATCTGGCTCCATCTAATTGTGAAAAGAAAGACTCCTCATCCCTGACAATGGGCTAATGTCCTTTCTAATGCTGCCAGTATTGCACAGTTGTTACACTCTTTCCCAATGAGCACTGGGACCTTAAGTGTGATGATATGAAACCTTTAATCATTAATGAAAACAAGCAATTTGTCTATGTTCTTAGATTGACAATCCATAAAATAGTGTTTCTCAAATGACAAATTAGCAACTTGGTTACAAAGAACAAAGTTTAAACAACACAACAGCTGTATGCACAAAGCTACCACGTCTTTTTTTTTCTTTTTTTTTTTAAATCAGGAAAAAGATTTATTTATAAAAACGTCTCATTTAATTTACTGTCGAGTCTCTAGCTGAAGAATACAGTGGTTTAGAACACTAATGGCCCATGCTTTTATACAGATTAGCCAAAGCATGAACATCAATGAAAATTAACGCCCAAAAATAACTCTGCTTTGCTTTATGTTATGAGCCACAACAGTGTTAAAACTGGAACAGTAATGAAAGCAACACAAGAGTTAGGAAGCACAGTTGCTTAAGGTGTTTTCTTGTGATGTCTCAGAATAATAAGAAAGTTAGAAATGGCAGAAACTCCTCTGTAGATTAGTCCATAGAAAGCATTGTCTCATGGGGCTTTGGAAAAGTCCTGTCTGGTGGCTAATGCACTAGGGCATGATGAGATACATTACAGAGCCCCCAGGCCAGTAACTTCTGATGACAGCCTAAAATGTAGGAACAAAAATAAGGAAAAGAAAAAAAAAAAAGGGCAGAAAAAAAAAATCTTCTCACTATTAAAAAATAACACTTGAGTACAACCAGCATAGAACAGCATTTCAGTGCAGGCAAGTTCTCTCACACAGAGCTTGGTGGTTTGAGTTCTTTAAACGTCAGTTATTTAAACAGTTACAGTAGTCCAGAACAATTTTACAGCAGTTTTTTAGAGCTTTTAAGTAGCTGAGGTACCTTGACATTATTTCCAGTTGTTCCTTCAGTATATACAAACCAAACCAAACCAAAAGAAGCCCAAAAGAAAAGAAAAACCAAACCAACAAAACCAACCAAAACCCCCATTTGGATAAGTGCAAACTGTAACAATGGCGGTTCTACAAATGGTTACAGTGACAAAACTTAGTGCAAAGGTACTAAGGTGAAGAAAAGCCCACAGAATACAGACACAAAATACTGAGATAGTACTTAGCCCTATACAATAATCATCACACACTTTGAAATACCATGTTTTTAAAAGTATTGCATTTGCATTGTGTTTTTAGTTTATATTAAAATGCACTGAATACAGTTCAATTGTTAAAGCTTTGTGTCCAAGGAGTGCAAAGTGGATGAACATAGCGGGCTAATGGGATTCTGGATTTGGAAGTGGTGAGGAAAACAATATTGCATTACTGAGTTATGCAACAGAAATTAAAAAGAAGGTGGATGGACAAACAGAAAATGCAGTTAAAAACTAGTTCCAGCAGCTAGCAACCAGCCATTGCATCACCTGCCTCTCTTCTGGTTTTAGTTAATCTGAACTAATTATTAATTCTCATTAAAGGGATGGTACCTGCACAGGCAGCAGCCTTTGAATGTCCTTTGATAAGCACTAGATTTAATTTGTCATTACAGTACAACCCAATTGCATGATTAGTGGCAAGTTAAACAGTGATGTATTTTGTACAGAAACCTAACAAACACAATGGTCATTTTGGCTGCGCAAAATATATGCAGGAGGGGTATCAGGATAGCGCTCATGCATGTCTGATTCGTACCTACTAGTTAAGTACTTAGAGAAATAAGTACTTTGTCAGTGTGTATATATACAAGTAAAAAAGTGCAAAAGGAGGAGCCTGCTTTCTCCCCACAAAAGAGAGTTCTTAAATTTACATTTTTGCAAGCTAGAGAAAAATGGTTATACACTTCAAAAGAATGAAGTGCAATGGTGCAGGTGCCTGCTGTGTTCCCCCTCTTGTCTTACAGTTATTTTAATTCAGCAGTTTTCCTCAGACCAGAAAGCAGAAGTCCCTGATGTTGGGTACTTTCTAAACCCAGCCTTCTGCTTGCAGGCTGGTGTCAGGGCAGGGGAGTCTTCAGGCCTGTGGAAAGCAGCAGGATGACTGAGGGGGCCTGCACTTCACGTGGGATTTTGGAGTGCTAGCAGTCATCAGAACTGCCAGAGTTTTAGGAATCCCTAGCCACAGAGAGATTCATCCAGATGCCAATTTGGCATAGGAAATTGTTTTGCAGTTGGAGGGATCAGCTTCACATGGGTGTGAGCGTTTTGATGTGCCAGGCAGTTTGCTGGAGCAGGACCTGGCTGCCACAATTTGGCCTCATTCATGTGTTTCCTTTCTTCCCAGGTTTCTCCTTGCTAGGGTATCAGAGGGACGGACCCAGGCTGCCGGGGAGAGGCCGGAGGCTAGCGCCTGCCTGCTGTTGGAACTAGTTGTTAGGTGGTGCCTGGGTGTTAAGTCGTTATGGAGAGTGGAAGACGACTTGAGCCGGCAACAGTTAACACTAGCAATTTAACAGAAACTAAAAAGATGCCGTATTGTTTCCTTGACAACTAGGATCTACCACAGACTCTTGGCAGAGCTGGCAAAGCTTGCATTTGTGTCTCATCCCTTCAATATGGAGCAAACTTCTGGCGGTCAGATTTCTTAACCCCGCTCGTCGAAGGAATTTTGGCAGTGTAAGCGGACAAACTCCCCGTGGCCCCCGCGGCGGCCGCGGCATTTAGTGCCAGGAGTGGGACAGTTTTCATGCCAAGCAGACTGGAGACAGGAACGGCATAGTGGGTGGTTGGCAGAGTTGGTAGGGGAGGGGGGGTACTGACGGTAACGGCGGAGGCGGCCGCCAGCACGGCCATGGAGGTGGGGGTGGAGGTAGGGGTGGCAGACTGAGAGAGGTTCATGTTGAGGTCAACAGGGGTCGTGACGGAAGCGGTCTGGGTGCTGACTTTAGCCATCTCTAAGCTGCAAACGAAGAGAGGAAGAGGAACAAACAGGTTGGGAGGGTCCAGCCAGGGTGGGGGGGGGGGGCCAGGAGGAGGAGGAGGAGGAAGGGATGGAGGGACAGCAACCACGTAAGGGCAGGATTAGATTGGTGGGTGACGGGAGACAGACGAGTGGGAGGGAGAGGAGGGAGAGAGAGAAAAAAAGGGAAAATGAGGGTCAAAGGAGGAACATGTTATGTGTTAAAGAAGAGAAATAACAAAAGGGTTTTTCATGATTCGGTGGTGAAAACATTACTGAGACTCTAAAGTTCTTTCAATAAACAAAAAGGGGGGGGGTGCTAGTTCGGTTTACAGATGAGAAAAGAAATTAAGGAATGCAGGGAAATGGCAAAAAGATGGAAAAAACAAAACTTAAAATAACTATGGAGTTTACTCCCCAGCACTGATAGGGTGAATTTTGCTTTTTGCAATTACTGTGTTTTTGACAGGGGGACGCGGGGGGGGTTGGCAATTTGTCCAATTTGTCAATTTTGGGACATAAATAGAACCCTTTGTCATTTTGTTAGGATGAGAGGAGACTGAGCAATGATTTGCTGCTTTCATCTAAGGCATGAGGTTTTGGTTGCTTTTTAGAGAATCAAAGGTCAATGTGCATTTTTCATATAAAGCAAACCAGATTAGCCAGTGTGTTCACTTGGGTTTGTACATTTCCCAGACTGTTTTTTTCTTTAGATCACAACAAAATATTGATGCAATCTAATCAGAAGGAAATGAGTAACAAGAAAGACTGGAAAACACCCCGGCTTCCACAGCAGTGGAATCCTTTCTGAGCTTGTGGCAGCGGTTACAGTGAACATAAAAGAGCTTACCAGCTGACAGACAAGGTACTATTACATGGATACAACATACACATCATCAGACAGACCCCGCGAGCACAAGCAACTTCAGACTGACCCCACCTCTGAGCCCAAGGCAGGGATGGGCTCTTTGGAGGATGTAGGTACCAAACGACCTTCATTTTAGTCTAACATCACCCACTGGCAGGTGAGATCAGTTTGGCTCACATACTTGGGCTTTTCTGTACATTTTTAGACATTAAATACAGCAATTCCAAGGACGCGTTGTTTTTTTCATATGACAGCATATCTACATAGACAAACCCTCCCTCTGCTGTTTGTTGCAGCTTGTGCACAAGCTTTCGGGTCAGCAAACAACCTAAACACTCATTTCAGGATGCATTTTGCATGTGACTGGCTGGGAGGTATGGCAGCCTAGCACATAACTAGGACTATCCCAAGTCTGGGGTATATTTTCAGTAGTTACTAACTTGTTGGTCTCCTGGGCTTTCTCCTGAGGAGAGCTGAGAGGCTGCAGCAGCTTCTCCCTCCCAGAGTGGAGTGCCAGGGAGCTGCTGGCTGGCTGTACAGGGGACCTGGGTGCAGAACCTGCTTCTTTATGAAATCCCACCAGGCCCAGGGAGGCTCCCCAGCATGGGGTTTTGTGCTAGTCCCAGTTGGCACTGTGGGCTGGGGGTGCAGGCTTTGAGAGCCCCTGTGGCCAGGCTGCTGGTTGGGAAGGGAGCATAGTCACCCTGTGTGGGGCTTGGAGGGGCCTTGCTTTTCTGTATCTTAGACTTACTGCAGTTTTGAGAGTAACAACCCCTGGTCTATTCATGGCCTGAGTAAGGCAATGACCATAGGAGGTGCCCTTTCTGCAAGGGCAAAGATCAGCCAGCACTATACAGGGTGGGGGGATGCTGGACTAGAGCTTTCCAAAGCACTGCTGCTAAGTCTAAAGGATACCTGAAGCAGGTCTGAGCTGGGGAGAGGCACATGGTGGAGAGAGGGAAATGTGTAAGCACCAACTCCTCTCTTCCCCACAAAAGAAAGAGGGTTCTTGGAGTGCCATCTCCTTGGCAGCCTTTTCTGGGATGTTGGAAGGTGCACATCTCTGAGGGACTGGGAAGGGATAAGGGCAAGGGTGTGAAATGCAGACCCGTTCGTGAGAGGTAAAGCTTTGGGCTTTCCTACCAGGTGTGTTTATCTGTCTCTGTGGGTGAGCAGCTCAGAATTTTTCTAACCCTCAAGGTAGAGTTGTCCTCTGCAGAGAGAAGAGCATTCTTGTGCTGTTAGCCAGGCTACTTGCAATCTACTCGCACAGTGGGATTTACATCAAGAACACTGAATCAGTGAATCCAACCCCAGTGTATGTCCATAACTTAGGGTGTAGGAGTTGAGTTACATAGTGACACCTCAGTACATTTTGAAAAGCTCAGTTTATACAGTTGGATGTTTTTATACTTCTAACTTGCTATTATTCTGGGAGGGAGGTGTATAAAAAGATAATGCAGGACTCAGTGCTGCAGTGATCCCGAATTTGCGTGCCTTGCATTTAACAAAAAGTCCGTACTTATACAGGCGGTACTTGAGCCTGAGCTGTTTCCTGAACCAGCAGGGAGAATAGATCCCACAGGATAAATGCTGGTGGTGGCAGCAGCCACTCAAACTCTCTGTCTCTGGTGTATTTGCACAAGTAAGATTAAAGTAATGTGCCCAGCTTCACATTTGTTACTGCTGGTAACGCATAAGGTGAAAGTACATCAGGTCAGCTGTTCTGTGATAGGGGCAGTTCCTCAAACCAATTGTAGATACAGCAAAACTGAATGTGAAGGTGGATGAGTTGGCCTTCATACAATATTTCATGGTGCCAATTTTACCCTGTCCCTTTGAAGCCCTGTACTTTATGAACATATGCACATCCTGCATTACCCAAACCTGGTGAAAGGAATAAAGCTTGAGTGTGGCTTTGACGGTCCTGTTAGCTCTGTGGATGAACCTCATCAACATGGTAGTAAATAAACATCTTCAGGAAACTGCTCTTCAACAAGGAGCAAGTGCTGCTGGCTACAATTCGTTTATAGTCCAAAGTCAAATATTACACAGGAAACCTTCTTAATAAAAGCTAGAAGATGGAATTGGATAATGAAAATCCAGTTACTACAGTGGAGAGCAGTTAAGAGACAGAAGATTTTACAGGAAAAAAAAGACACTTCTACTGCAAACAAGCTAGCACACAGTCTACTCATACAGAGGTCAGCGCTCAGGTAATAATACAGAATCAAAACAATACTTTAGAAAGATTTAAATCTCTGTCTTGATATTATATCAATGTATATATATATAATTTAGAGTATATTATGTACATATTCGACACCAGATTGCAATAAAAAATCTTGAAACAATTTGATAAATTACTCTATAGATGGCAACTTTGGTTGGAGGATAGTTTAAAGATACACACAGAATGTTTTAGGAATACAGTGGATAGATATTTTTTAATATCCTATGCTGCTGTGAGACATTGATTTATGCAGAAATACTCGCCCTGGAAACCAAATCCATGAGAATGACAGAACTTGTAGGGGAGATTAAAAAAAACCCACCTTACCCCGAATACTTATATGGCTTTTATTTGTTATAATTCATGTTTTGACATACCAGACTATACCTCGGGCAGTCTAGGTACTGTCCTCAGCTCTTCCCCAACACTATGTCATGCCAGCATCTTTAAAAGAGGGCAGTACTTGTGGCAGGCTTAGGACTGACAAACACTAAAATTGGCCCCCAGCATATACAGGCAGCAGTAGTGCAGTGCTGCCTCTGAGAAACCTGCCCAAGCACCTAAACCCCAGCTAGAGCAGAGCTCCCTCTTGCCTGCATGTTTCTTGGTTCTTGCTCCAATGTGACTGTGAACTAGCACTGCTACTGTGGTAGCACCTAGCTGGGCAGGAATTTCTCTTGTGAAAGGAGAAATCTGGAACAGTGTCACTTAAAATAAATAAAGCCACCTTAATGTCCTATGGTACCTTAGAGCTTAATTTATTATACATTACTTTAAGAGTCTTCATTTACAAATGAAGTCACTTAATCTAAATACAATTTCAACACATGGTACATAATAATATATGATAGTAACAAATGATTTCTAGCTAGAAGTTCAACAGGAAGAAAATACTTTGTTTCTGGTTTCACAGGGTATATAGATAGAGTATCCATGGTATATGACTGCTGAGAAGTTTTCTTCTTTGCAAAAGTATATTAAAAGACCTCATATATATATCCCATTCCATCGAAAGAATCATTAAACAGTAATAAACAGAAGTGTGAGAGTTCACAGGGTTTTCTAAAGTGAGTCAAACAGGTTTGTTCACTAGAGTTTCTGTCTCTGGTGAGCAGCTCAATGCAACTCCATTAATAAGTGCATTATATTATTTGCATGCTTTAGCTGTCTTGAAGATCTTAAATTGTTATCTTCTGAGGTCCAGATGCATGCCATATGGTGTTTGTGCAACTAAAAATGAAGGGGTCTATTCTCGTCTCGATGTGTGGGGAATCCCTGAACACCAAGAGAAGAACATATCCTTAAGGGTTAAAGGAGGGAACACATTTTTATTTGATTACAGGGCTTATGGAAGTGACTTATATTTGCTACAAAGAATATAAATCAAAAGAGCTGTAGGTTGTTTTAGGATTCTGGAAATGGCTTATCTTAGGCTTCACGACGCCACCCTCTGTATAGCTTTCCCTAGGAAACTACTTTCAAACTTAATTACAGAAAGTAGTATTTTTGTTTGCTGTAACACAGAACTTCACAAACATCCTTTACCTCCATTAAGACATTTACAGTGGCTCGCAGTTGTGCACAGAACTAGGCTGGAGAGGAGGCTGGACCATAGGAGGCTGTAGACCTGTTATGACTACAGCCCCCCATATAAATCATATACTTTCTACTACCTTAAGAGCAAACATAGTCAAACATAAAGCTTGATTCATATCACAGTATTTTGGGGGTAAAAAATGAAAAAAAAAAAAGGCAATAAAAACCAGATACTCTCCTGCCCACAACATGTTGCCTCGGTCTAACATTTACAAGTACCTCTATGAGACAGCACTATATTATGCATTGCACGTTCTCATAATAATTGCAAATAAAGGTGGTATCAATTTCAATAGTTTTCTAAATAATCATATCAAACTGATAGAGACTTAAGCCATCTCAATGGCTTAGCTAAACACAGTCAGTGCTTTCATTCATTCTGGCATCAAGAAGTAAAGCAGCAGAGTCTCACCCCATCTCATTAGGGAATCCTTTCTACAAATTTGTGATGCTGTCTCTGAAAAAATAAATTCCATTCCTCTTTAGCAACCAAATGTCAGTGTGATATCAACGCTGAGTGGCAATTTCCAGCAAGAAAATTAAATCTGTGTTGCAATCTGTTTCACTATATTTGCCACTTAGGACAGTAAAATGGATCTGTGAGAAGTATTTTCTTCTAAGGAATCTGTGATTGTAATTTCGTTTCATTTATCCACCTGTATTTTAGGTAGATGCTAGTATGAATATTCAGATTTTTCAGCTTTTGTCATTCAGTATGTACTCAGAATTGCACCAGATTAAGCTCCTTTCCAAATAAACCAACAGCAAACAGTTTCTAATGATACAGGCTTTACAAATCATTAGGAATTGAGTAATACTATGCAAAGTGGACACTGCAAAGCAACTTTCTAGATCTATCCAGGACAGACATTTGCTGGAGAGCAGACAGAGCAATCTCGCAGAAGCATCATCACTTACAAAGCAAACTTACCTTGCATTAATGAGGTACTGTGCTAAGCTGATGTTTGCAGGGGATCCTGTGATTGTAACTTGTCGTTCTGCGGAGCCTTCTGTGGCATTAGCAATCTTGATCTGCGCTCCTGACATCTGCCTGATTTCATTTATCTTACTGCCTTGTCTGCCAATAATGCAGCCTATTAACTGGAGCGGGACAAAGACTGAGATTAGTGCCACAGACACAAGCAAAAACCACTAAACTGCAATTTGTAGTATTGCTAACAACATGGCTATGAAAAATTCAGTATCAAAACAGAAGATTTTTGCTGTGCTGTTTGGAAGGAATAACTAACACAGTCTATTGGTTCTATTGTCATATGTCCTTACATCAAGTTTCAGTGCTACATGGTTATCAACTCAATACTGGGCTATTTTGCTATGATGTTCCATGGCAGACAATGACAGTGTGCCCATGGTGCTGACAAATACAAAATACAACCCAGTCTGACTTGCCAGTGACAGCAGCAAGCCAAGAGCTGCAGCTGGAAGTAGGCTGAGCATCCAAAGCTGCCACCATGCAGCTCTGCACCCTCCCAACACACTGCTAGTCCTGGACAGATGTCCCTGGGCACACATGGTCCTCTCTTGGCCAGGTACTGCTCTATTAATATCAGTGGGATTTACAGCTCTGCAATTGCAGGTAGAAGCAGCCACAGGAAGAGACAGAAATTTTTCTGTGTTCCTTTAGAGAAACTTACCAAAATGCCTATTTTGTGAATAAAACTGAGCCTGAGCTCTGTGTGTGTGTCCCTAGATCCCTCAATTATTTTGGTAAAATGCCTTTGGTGTTATCTTCAAATAGCAGTGTTTTAGATGCTTTTTGGCAGAGTCAAAGGTTTTTGGAAGCTGTGTGCATGACCTTGAGGCAGGGTTTAGCAGCACACATAACTTCAGCTTGGGTAAGGGAATGTGACTGATAGCTGTGGCAGGGCGTTGCTACCTCCAGCACAGGCAACAAGAGCAAGTGGGCACCAAGCCATCAGCTGAGGCTCAGTTGTTTTAACTTATGTAAGGGTGAAGAGGGTGATTTGTGTTAAGGAAGGGTGGGTGCTGAGAAGGTCAGCAACGGCCAGAATGGGTAGAAAATGGGAACCTTGCTCTACAGGTCTGTTGACATTGGGATGAGATTGCCAGTTTGGCAGAAGGATGTGACAAGATGCAAAGGCTGCCTTCCCCTCCCACTCTTCCCGCTGCTTCAGGCCCTGACATACTGACCTTTCTGGTACTGTAGTACTTGGAGTATCTTGCCAGAAACACATTCACATTGTCCAAATATCACGAGAAGAACCCCCTTCCCCCAGTGTAATTCTTTCTTCATGCTCAAGGACAAGCAGAAAGCCAAAGCGGGTACTCCGGTAGCCGAAACAGAGACCAAGCACAAGAGGAGCACCCATGAGGGAGGAAAACGGGGTTTCAGGAAACACAAAGGATTTCCCATCCTGTTCAAACAGGAGGGCCTCGCTGATCTCCCTGTCCTTATCCCAAGGACCTGTCTTAATATGTGACTGCACACATCAGTGCAGAGGAGTTATGTGAGCTTCACCAGCAAGCCCCTAGCCTGTCCCTGTGTGTACATGAATGTGCCTGCATACGCTACATGTCAGCGGCACAAGGAGCTTTGTGCATCTGCTTTCCTACACCTCGCTGGCATGCACAGTCCATAGGCAGCGAGGGTGAAGCAGGAGAGCAGAGGGCTCAAAGTCCACATGGAGAAGGCACTTGTCAGGTCACTCAGGAGGCTGCCACTTGTATGTGCTGGGGGTCTTCCAATGAGGCTTGTAACCCACATGGGGCAGCACAAAGAATCTGCAATGTCCTCACTGATTCTGAGTTAAGCAGCAAGGATTCAGCCCAGACCAGTCAAGGATATTGGTGATGCAAGCTTCTTGGAGAGAGGTTTGGTAACCTTCAGTCTGAAGCTCAAAGTTATCCTCTGCTGCCGGGACAATGGGATGCTTCAACATGCTCTGCAAGCTGTGACACAGCTCATGCAGAATACACTTCCTCCTTTGCAATGCAGGAAGGACAGTAGTGCTGGGGTGCCTGGGCCCTCTCTGGGGTGCCTTTCCCATTGTGAATTACACTGAAATGTGTGTAGTATCTGAATGTTAAAGGGCTGATGGAAGTTCTTGAACTATGTTTTCATCTACAAAGTTTTACCCGATCAGGCCATGGACATTTGATCTTACATAAAAACACCTGTCCCGCCTTGTGCTGAGATGAAGCTATGTTAAGTTGCATCCAAACACGTATCTCTTCAAGACTGCCCTTTCTAATGCCACCAGCTGCCTCCCATTCCTGACATTGTTCTATATCTGGCCATTTCACATGATTCGGCAGGCTACGTGTACTTCAGTCCCACAAAAGCAAGCTTCCCCAGACTCTGAAAGTTGCTACCTTGCATGTAATGCTCTGTGTTTCACAGACATGCGTTTGCTGCTTTCCCAAGCTCCAGGCAGACCAAGTTAGGGAATGTGGAGGGCAGCAAACATAGAGCTGTTTTCAAGGACTTCAGGTGCTGCATTATTTTTGATGCTCACCTGCTTGCTCAACATAAGTGAGCCTCACTCTCACATGTGGAGTGAATCAAGAGGAAAACAAGCGATGCAGCTGCCCCATGTAAGACAGGAGCCAAACCTACTATGGACTATACCAAGCCTACTATGCACTGTAGTATAACACATATGCTATAAGTATATATGTACACTATATATAATATGCACATACATACAAACACACAAACAGAATACGTGTATGTATATGCATATATATTTTAACACTCTGACTATGGCAGTAGCACATGCTTACAAAAAAAAGACGGAAGCAATGTGAGGTATAAAACTAAGTTTCCACTGGTATCCCAAATTCCCACCTAAACCTTACAGACTACCTGAGCAACAGTTTGTACCTCTGCCTTTATGCTCTAGTAGAAGGCATCCCTGCCCATGGCAGGGGGTTGGAACTGGATGATCTTTAAGGTCCCTTCCAACCCAAACCATTCTACTATCCTATAAAGGTCTACTGTGATCTGTCCCACCTCAAACTCTTGCTGCTGGTAGTCTCTCCCAGTATGCTATCTCTGGTTCAGGTCCCTCTCTTCAATTTTTCTTTCTTCATCATAATACAAATGCTAAATATATGTATATTTTCCACATAATGCTAAAGTCACTAACAGAGCCTAATAGTAACAGCTTTCTTTTAGGTATTTTCTCCTGGCTTGATCCTCTCTGCATTATGTCTGTGCTGCACTGGGAGCAACCAGAGTTTTAGGCTTTATTATCCAAGTCCAATGCTGCAGAGTACTGCTTGTCACGGGAAGTGGCACGGTTCTCACTTTCATTTTAACTACTTGTAAAATAATCAGATTCCTTCCTTATAATGAATGTACTGTTGGTAAAAAGGGTCAAGGAATTAGTCTGTGCAGCTTGGTATCTGCTGTCAGGAGCAGAGAGGTTGACCATACTTGTCCATAGGTACATGTGGGTCCCCTTGGCTCCCCGCTGCCAACTCAGCACAAGTCCATTGGCTTTGGCAAAGCCTTTTCATTAGTTGAGTAAGCAGATGCTCGACATGAAGAAGAATCTTCAATTGCTCTTCATAAAGACATAGGCTTTCTCAGTTCCAGGTAAGGGAAGAAATGCTGGGTATGATTACAGCTCTTTACAGACTTACTGTGGTGCCTGCAAAGAGATGCTTCAATACTGTGCCTCTTAAAACCAGTAACAACAATAATAAACTTCACTTTCCTTGCCAGGATAATGCAAAATTTGGACTACAATAATTTCACAGGCTTTGCAAGAATGCAGATAGAAAACTGGGAAAACATGCTCAGAAATGAGCCTTTTTATTACTTGCTTTGTAACCCAAATGACTCTGCAGATTTGTATGTCCCATCCTGCTCCCTCAAGTGAGAGGTGGTTCTGGGGGGTAATTACTTTTAATGCTAAGTAGTGTCTTGTCACACAAGTGGAATCACTTTGCTTCTGATGGATATTAAGTCTACTGATTCTTGAACTCATCTGAAAAGGTCTACTTAATGAATCAAATGCCATTTTCTTAGATTAAGGGGGGACAAAAATGAGGCCATGTGCAAACATATAAAATGGTATTTTTTTAATAACATATCCCCTTAAACATTCTTCATTGACAGAATGTGGTTAAGTCTGTATTTTTGCTCTGTGCGTTATTTCTCTGTTACATGGGAGGCTCTCAGTAGTAAGGTAAATTTGTTGAGGTTGAACCCACAGGTCCCTTGCCTTCAGTAGAAGTGCTTTGACTTAAACTACTGCAGGGCCTCTGCCAGCACGTCTTGTGTGGATTATTAAGGCTTTGCCTAACCTTACCCCCTCTCAAATGGCTGGGAAGTTTCTGAGCTGGGGTGGACTTAGCCAGCAGCTCAGTTTTACAAAATCAGGGCATTTGTTCTCAGGACTTCTCTGGAAGAGGGCTGCAGGGAGGTTGAGGTGCACTTCTTCTGCATGGTCTATGTGGTGCGTGGCCACGGATAGGGTCAGATGCTGCCCTTATGTTCTCCTTAAGGGCTGATTCTCCCCACTGCAGGCTATGGATCTGGGCTCTGCAAAGATGGGAGCTCATTCCCCTCAAGTGACAGCTGGTGGAAGAGGCAGTGATACACAGATCTCCCGGATTATCTGGTGGAGCTGATGCTAGATTTCACTGTGGGCTGTTCCAAGAGCACTCTGCACATGTGGGTCCCCCTCTGTTATTTACAGGGAAGTACTCCTGGCTCCCTGGGGAAATAAAGGCAGTTCTTCAGTATGCCATGTCCAACTTGGATGGATTGTCATTTCTGCTTCTTTGGAGTACTAAACAGATTTATAGCTTTCTTAAAATGCTCTCGGTGCTTTCTGAGGGGGAAGCTGTTTCCCTGTCACTCACCTCTGCCTGTCTCTCCCACACATACGCAAAATAAGGATAATTTTTAATGGAACAGACTTTTTTCATTATTGATTTGTTCATTTATTCTCAGTGGGCATTTGGGGAACTGGATCATGAAGTCTTAAGATATCTGCCATCTGTGCTCAATCAGCTACACTCAGGGACACCATCCTTCCTGCTCCCTTAAGGACCCCGCCAACTGTTAATGTTATTTTATTCTGGGATTTATGTGAAACACACATTGTGTAACCCAGGCAGCAGCAGAAGGCCAGACAAGATCTCAGCAAGGAAAGAAAGGCAACTAAATGCCCCATAACAGGTTTTGACAAGGAAAAAGAAATACCAGATAAAGATCAAAGTGACTTCTGAGAGGGACCTGGAGAAAACATCCTCTCTGTTATCTTTTTAGAGATACCCAAAAGTTATGAGAAAACCCAGAAAGGCAAATCTTCTGAACCCAGTATTTGGAGAGGAAGCCTCAGCTTTTAGCATGTGGAAAATAACTTTCTAAAAAACGCATCTTTTGTTCTTCAGCATCTCTTTGTTATTGAGCAATAGGTTACTTGCAGTTATCAGCATACTGTATGAAGACAGCAAGATGTTGTTGTTACAGGAATTACTAATAACAGAACAAAAAAAAATCTGTCACTGCCTTTAATGACAGAAAGAGTAAAGAAAACTTTACTGCGAAGCTATGCAAATTACACATGGCCATTAATATCTCCTTCCTGTAGAGTAGGCTAAAGTCTGAGCTCCTTAGTCTCTTTATATCTTCTTTTGCTCCATCAGATTCTTCCTGAGGCTTTGGCTTTACATGTTTATCATTAGCTTGGTTTAAAAAAATAAGTATAGCACATGTGTATATACCTAACATCTCTGACAGCTGCAGAGCATGTAGATACTTGCTAGTCTCACGCTCTTCTTTGTGCTGGACTTTTGCACACATAAGCACATATGATAAGAAAACCAGGGGACTTGCAGCAGTGGGGATCTCTGGAGCTGGGGCAGCCATAGGGCTGTACCACAGCCCCATGCTAGGGCCTGCAACTTCCTTTACTTTCAACTAGATAAATAATCACCATACCACACTGCCTGCATGTGTATCAAAACCGGGACTAGAAGTTTATCAGGAAAGCAAAGTCAAACTACCCATGCAGGCTTTGCTGCACAAGTGCTGTTGCCTCTCCCATCCTGACCTCCCTCTATGCACAGCATCTATGCAGAGCACACACGAAACACAGGTGCTGGCACCTTCTTACTCTGCTTCTTTGCTTCATGTCTCTCTGCTTCCCTCACCTCATCATTTTTGGCACTGCTGCAGCGGTGATGGGGCTGCAGGACCCTGGTATGAACAGTTATGCTGTCAGACCCCAGGGATGGTACCTTCTTGCTGCAGCAGCCTAAAGATAGGCTGGGAGGGCACTGCTGACAGCCTGGAGCACAGGCAGAGTGGACACCTCAGGGAGACATGCAAGGAAACTGCAAAATTCCCAAGCAGCCTCTGATGCCCGGCAGGAGATGAGAGCCCTTTCTTCCCTCTAAGCCAGCACTGCAGCATTGGGTGCACACACGTGGGAAGCACTAAAGCCTTTCGGTCATGTAATACATGCCTTGACATCACAGAAACACCAGAACTCCCTTTTATCACCTGTAGAGCCCCTGCAGGCTGTTTCTAACCTGAACACCATTTTGGCCTTGGTTTTGCTCCTTTAGCAACAACTGCAAGACACACACTGCACAGCCAGAAAAAACCTTCTATTAGAAACAATGCATGGATGTGTGTTTGCTTTACAGATGCTGAGCCAGGGCATTTCATACCTCCTGGATGAGAAACTGATGGGGTTTTTAATTTTCTACTACACTACGGGACACAAGGCCAGCTTCCTCTTTCTCTGCTATAAACCCTGAAAGAAGCGAAGTCAGAAGAGTGACCTTGGATTTATACTGGTGATGGCAAGAACAACATCTTCCTGAAAGTGAGATTAAAAAACTTGCACTGTAAGGATAAATAGGGTGTTCCCATAAAATTCTCAACATACAGTAAATTGGGTTGTAAAGCAGGTACTGATAAATCAGCAGGGCACCTTTTAAGTAACAGAAACCTTACGAAATCACAGCACTCACACCTTTGCTCTTCTGCTATTCTGCGTCTTTTTCTTAGTGTAAATCATTGCCACTGAGTTTAATAGGGCTTACACAACATTGTAAGCATCTCTTCAGTAATATAATTGTTATTTGTGATCCTGTTCATGCTTGAAAGCTTTTTTTACTGGAGGGGAAATCTTCCATTTTTCAATTGACTCATTTGTAATGGAAAAATGAGTGTGTTGTTCCCCCCCCCCCCCTTGCAATGAAAGTGAATAAAACAGGGAGGTATTTTGAGTAGCTGTTTTAAGATTCAGCATCATATTTTGCTCATGGAGACTGGGTTTGCCGATCACAGCCAGTCAGAGTTGCTGGAGCACGAATGTTTTCAGCCCCTGTTTTTCAAACAAACCCCTTATATTGCACATTTCTGTAAGTGAATAAGCCTTTTTTCTCAGGAAAACTGCTGTCTCAGACAAGTGCAGGGTGCAGCAGAGACTGTCACAGCATAAGCTGCTGTGGTGCAGGCTCTGCACCCCTCGGCACGGAGGACCAACACGCAGCACACAAGGCTGCACATTTCTCCACCGCCTTTAGCCCTTCTGCTAAGAGCACCCATGTTAGTGCCACCTGAGAGATGGATTTTGATAACTCTTCTAAGACCACTGTAAGCAGGGGCAGCCACACTTTAACAAAGCCAGTGAAGCATCACCATAGAACTAAACCAGCAGCGCTGCATATCTGACATGACATGGGACAGTCACTTCTGCTGCCCTATCCAGCATTTCACTGATCCCTAATATCCCCTCCCCAACAGATTAAATGCTGTACAGTTTATTCTGGGGACCATAATAATCATATTAGATATAGCCAAAGATGAGAGGTTTCCCCTCCCAGTGGCAGAGGAGCGAGAGAAGAGAAAGCGATACTGACTATTGGTCCACTTACATCATTGGGAATAGTAAGTTCATGGGAACTGGTTGGAGTAGTGGCATCCAGTCCTATTCAGGGGACAGAGGGAAAATGTTACGCCAGTTTGCAAGAAGGGCAAGACACAACAAATGATATTTTAAAGGAGGAAACATACAGAAAGAAGGGGAGAAAAAAAAGAAAGGAGCAAAGAAAAACAGAACTGCTAGTGAAACAGAAAAGAAAGCAACAGATGCAAAACTCGGAGGGCTGCACTAATTTTAAATGAGTCCTATTTTAGTTAACCTTTAACCCACCAAAGCAACAAATGTCACATGAGATTCCACAGGGTCATAAAAAGCTACTAGAAAACAAAGGGTTTCCCCTAAAAACAGTCTCTGAAGCTTGTTGTAGACACATCAATTGATAAACTCATGAATTGCTGAAATTGCACCTGTCTACCAGGAGTTCCAGAATACCAAAAATGAAAGTCAAATGAACAATTAACAGAACAAAATACATAGGTATGAAAAAGAAAAAAATAATAAATGAAGGATGAGGAAGTTAACCTAGGGAAAACTGGGAATTATACGTGGGATTAGTTGCTGAAGGAATGTTGGGAAGGGGAATTTTTAAAGGGAAATGTACAGAATACTCTAAGCAGCGAAATACTCCAAGCTGCATACATTTGTTTTTAAATTGGGTAGACAAAAGGAAAATGGTCAGGAAATACAGAATTACTGCTCTAACACAGAGTAACGTTACACAAACATACATGTCACAAATATAAGCAGGGAAAGATTAAGGAGCAGCATGTTAATGACAAAAATAAGGAAAACATAAAGCTAGGAAAGGCAATTTAGTATTAATTGTAGGTATTTTATCCCATACATCATGAAGAAATGAAAGTATATTTTGGATCTTATGTCTCCTTGACTAATTTTCTCTTTTTTTGGGTGTATTACTATTATTATTATTATTGTTATTATTGTCATTGGCATCATTATTATCTGTAAAGACATACCCAAAATACTAATTTCCAACCAGAAAAGATGGGAAACAAGTACTCTGACAAAAAAGGGACTTGCCTACATTTTACTTACATTTACGTTCAATTAAGGGTTGCATACGCTTGTTTTACATTAAATATAAACCAATGAAGTTACTCACAGAATTTGATATATGTGATAAAATGTTATTTGCCATACAAAGCATGTACCAGTACATATGTACTTCTGTTTTATGAAGATTTAGATGCCAAGCATGTATGTAGCAAAGTACAGTAAAAAAAGATCTATTGCAGGATTAACTGACTTCTCACTCTTGAATCAAGAATTCAGCTTCAGCTTTAATAAGTAAGTATGGACCAAATCTGCAGTCCTTAATTTACTGAACTTCCACTGCATTTTGTAGCTATATATACACATGTAGTAGGCACTTTTGCCAGCAGTGATGATTACAGATGCTCTTAAGATATTTGGCTCTACAAGGAAATGAGTTTCAGTGTGCCATAATTTCTTTAATCAGTATTTCTGCACCACAATTGCATACTGTTTTCCTTTGTTTGCTTCTTTCTAAACCATGTCACCAAACTGGAAATTTGAGAAGATGCAGACCCAGGAACTTCACTCAGGATTAACTGGTACATACTGCATGGTCCATAATAACTTTACAAGGACTGAAGAAAAGAAACTCAGGGCTTTTAGCCAATGGCACAAATGAAGCGGCTTTGATTAAGAAATGTAACAAACAAAGCACGTTTTAGTAATGATGAGAGGAACAGTAAAAGAGGTACGGGAGGGAAGAAGAGAGATTAATGTGCAAAAACAGAAGGATTGCTGGTCATTGACCACATTTATAATTAAAATGATGTAATGACCACGGGAAACAAAGCTGTTAAGAAGAAGGACATCCCCAGGGGGTCATGGGTACGTACCAGGGAAACCAGGGGTGGTCTGCCCAAGGGGAGTAAAGGGGGGATGCTGCATAGCCAACTGGTGAAGCTTGGTCAACTGCAGGGCAGGATGGGAAATTAGAACTAACCAATCAAATGGAATTATTTCAGAGCAGAGAAACCATCTTACATGTTCTAAAACTGGATTAATTAAAATTATATTGAAAAAAAAAGTTTAAACATTCAGTCTAATCTACTGTAGAGAAAAATAAAACCCAAACTGGTTATAAATGACATCTCTACTGTTATTACATGTAATGGCTATTGTTAATATAAACTAATAATTGTAGAATTACATATTAAAAGAACTCAAATATACCACATGCAAAAAAGACCAAGATATCTGTCATTTGTTCCTGGGCCATTGTACTTTCTACCAATTATTAAACAAGGTAAGAGATGCAGCTGAGCTAACACTTTGCTATACAGTATGTCATTCAGGAAGGGTGCCCTTAGGCCATGTCTTTATTGCTAACTGTAGAAAGCAAATGTTGCCCAGAACAAATAAGAGGGAGAGGAACAGAAAGGGAGTAATTTACATGTGCTGGACTCACGTCTGGATGAGGGATGGCATACTGCCCCTGAATCGTGAATGCCTGAAAAGAACAAGCACAGTGAAGACACAGGTCAGTCAGGAGGGACAAGCAGTGTTCCTGCTCTCATCAGAAAAGCTCCTCCTGGCTCCCAAGGCAAATATCACCCACTTCGCTTTCAGTGCTGAATGAATCTTAATTGTCTTGTGCTGCTTGATGACACTTGGCACTAGAGAAAGGTCTCTGCCAGGCTGCCTGCGCACCCCTTGCAAGCCAGGGATGCCAAGTGCTGCTGCAAGATGACCTTGGTCCTTAGGACCTCTCTCACCTCCAGCTCTATCAGCCAGAAGCAGAGCTGGGGACACTTCAGGGATTGAGGAGCATGGGGGTGGCCACTTCCCCTCCTTGCTGCCCCATTCACCAAGTGCCACTGATGCATGCACAGGGAGATGCTGATGCAGCAAGGGGAGCAGCAAGGATGGGGCAGACCTGCCAGGGGGATGCCTGCCCTGGCATCCAACTCCTGACTGCTGTATGCACGGCCACATGCCAGCTAGCTCTGGGCTACCTCACCTGGCTAGGACAGCCATAGGTGCCAAGTGCCAGCAAACATGTGCCCCGGTGCATCCCACAGTGAGCACACATGTGGGATGGCAGCCTGTCCTGCAGTGCCTGGGCATCAGGCCAGCACGCCTCTTTGGAGATAGGGGCATGATGGAGACACCCAGAGTGGTGGTCTTATCTCCCACAAGAAGCCAAATATCCTCTCTCCAAATCCAACCTCTCTGCACAAGAGCAGTACAAGGGCTATAGTTTCTGTCATGCCTGGCACCAGTTAGCACAGCCCTTCGTCTCTCCTGCTGGCTCTGTAATGGCCTACAAAAGAACAACTATAGAGAGTTTGTAATTTTCAATTATATCCTGTAGGGCTTTTCTGAAAGGAATGGCATGTCAGAAAATGTTTAATGTGCTTGTGCTTAGACAGGCAGGAAAGCAGAAGGACAAATTATAACATATAAATATTTGTAGTGGGAGAATTATAAATGGGAACAGAGCTGATTAGCTTAGTTTGTAAAATGCTTATTTGACAAAAGGCCTCTTAGAAAGTAATGAATCCTTGCAAATGATAAAACAATTCATTTAATGGAGTTCAGATATTAAAACTTTAATGCCTCAACTGCTTGATGCACATTTCTGCAGAATTTCCCTTCTCGAGAAGAAACATTTCATTTAGTTTTTAAATTAGTTACAAAGCAAGGCTGCAATCCTGCAAACATTATGCACATGAGCAGTTTTCAGGCAGCAGTGTGTGTCACTGGGTGCAATGGGATGCTCATGGGCAAACACACATGACAAGAAAAGGTTCCAGTCCACCAAAAGAGGTGATCACTGGTGTCAGTGGGTGTTAAGCAAGCACATATTCAAGGAAGTAAAGCGTGTGTTTAAGTGTTTTACAAATGAGGACAACCTCAAGGAGATGTTACGCTGCTTTGCTGAGCGGAGCCTCTGTGCAAAGCCAAGCACAAGAGCACCCTCAGGAAGGTTACAGATGGAAATGGTGCTAAAGCAGAGCTTAGGTCCATGAGCAAACAGTGGGTTTTGTCTCTGAGCCTCTATGCTGGATCACAAGTCTCCTTTCTCATCCTGGCTTTACTTCAAACCCAGCTGAGAGAACACCTTTGATATCTCTGCCCAAGGAAGCTGTGGCTGCCCCATCCCTGGCAGTGCTCAAGGCCAGACTGGATGTGGTTTTGAGAACTTGGTCTAGTGGAAGCTGTCCCTGCCTATGGCAGGGGGGTGGAACTAGATAACCTTAAGGTCTTTTCCAACTCAAACCATTTTACAACTCTATGACATGGGTGCTTCTCAAGCAGTGGTTTGCAAAACAGCAAGAAGCCACCCCCAAAAAATCACTAGTGAATCTAATAGAAGGCACCCCTTTCCTTATCATTCCTCTCTCTTCCACGTATGCATATACAAGGAAGCAAACAAACTGGAGAAGTAACAAAAATGAACATTCAGTGTTCAGCTCTTTTTTTTGGTTGTCAGTGAAAACCATAAAAGCAGCGTGGACAAGATGGGTCTTGAATTTTCTTTCCCAGTTAAAAAAAAAGGCAAAAAAAAGCTCTTCATTTCTTAGGCTCTCAAAGGTCATTTGATTGATTTAGGTTGAGAAAAACTATCTTGGACTGCTTTACCGCTTTGGCAGAGGAACTGTGCCCTTCTGTAGCTGAGGCATATTAAGTACAAGTAGCTTGGTAGAGACTACCGAGACATCCATACTGTAATGTTTCACTAGGGACATGAGCACAGGTCGGCTTCCATCAATGCCAAGGGCAACTCTCCTACTGACGTACTGACATTAGTAACAGCAGGAATGACCTGGGCTACAAATCTTCCTCCATTTAAACCATAAAACTACTATGAGACATAAAGCAAGTTGTACCCTGTGAATACCCATCTAAACAGTAATGTAGCACAGTCGGTAGAAACTTCCCATTTTTTTCCATCAGGCAGGAGTGCTGGATTTATTTAATGTTTTTCTTTAACCAATACTGGGAAGGGGCAGAGCAGGACAGGACAGTGTTCAGCTTCATTTTAGTTCCGCCATTTAATACAGTATCAAAGAAGCACAAGAGAATTAAAAGCAATACTTCAAGCAGATGAAGCCCATATTGTTAAGGAAAACTAGAAATTTGCTAGTGTTTCTTGATATGCAAGCATTAAACAACCCAAAACCACTTTCAGGATAGCCATGATGTACTTTAGAATTGAACCAAAAGGTTGGATGGAATTAACACTGCTGATAAAATTCTACTTTCAGTATCACTTTCCACTTATGAAACCTGGGTGTCTTTCCACATTGATGTCCAAACACATCTCAACCATTTTGTTTAAAACGTGCGCTTAGTCAGAGCACACAAAAATTCAAAGCATACAGGAAGTGTCTGTCTCTTACACTCTTTCCCACATCAAGAAGGTTGTGTTAGAAAAGTGAGAACACTGTTTTAACTGATAAAACTGAAGATGACAAGAACTATTAGCCCTTAAAATAGGACACTTTCCATTATTTATACCAACTGCTCAGAGCACTCTAGCGAACAGTTTCAATACTTCTGAGTAATCATATACATAGATGTCTTTGAAGGTAGTGGCAATTACAATACTGGTAACGTAGGCTGCTGCATATATAAACACACATATTTCTTAAAGGAAAGCACTGCAGTGTAAATGGAGTGAATTATTCTAAACTTTTAGTCATAAACCAATTTCTGGCAAATTATTTTACATTTCAACTTGAATCACTAAGGAGACAGATTTCTTATTTTGGAAACAGCTAAGAGTGGTAGGCTTGAACACCAGATACTGAAAGCTACTACATCCAGATTACAAATATGTGGATATACATCACAACATATAATTACAGAATAGGAGATAAACTCTGAGAAAAAATTCAGAGGAAGCTCATTACAAGGGCCTGTCAGAAGCAATGGTGCTTTGGTATATGCTTGAGATGTGCAGGAGCTTCCTTACCCTGACTGATACAGCTTAAGATGAAGGGTGAATCAGCAAAACTTCATAATATAAAACAGAAACAGGAATGCCATTCTTGTGTTATCATACAAGTGTTGCACACTGTGGTTAGGAAGGTCCACACTTGCATGTATGCAGTTCATGTCACCTCAGAGACCCAATTGCTACTTGCTCTTGGGGGACCATGAGCAGCAAAAATTGTGTGCGTAACTTTTTACTGCAAAGAGCACTATTTGGTCCTAAAAACTATGAAAGCTATGAGAGAAGAATTACGCCTTTCATCAGCAGAGGTACCCTGCTGCTTGATCATCTATGAAAAGTGACAAAATTGCCTATACTGTTAGTGGAGGTGCAAATTAAGGGTGAAAAAAACAACCCCTACAATAAGCAGTTTTGTCCTACTCAGGGAGCATATGATTTGGACACACCTCAATTCAAAGAAGGCCAAACTTTTCTTAATTAGAGAAGCTAATTTTAAATCTTGATAAAATACCAGTCAGCACAATTTTGCGTCAAGTTTGCAGTGCAGTGTTCTCCTTTCCTGCAAACGGCAAGCACACAGAGTAGACAAAGCACATCAATACTATACCAGGCAAGAAAGAGTAAAAGTTGAAAACTAACAGGCGCTGGCTGAGGTTGGGCCAAGACGGTGTGGTTTCCAGCTGAAGCCAAAATGGTGTCTGCTCTTACCTGGCCACCTGCAAAAATGATAGGTGCAGAGGCAGGTTTGGGACGGTAGGGGATGGTGGCACCTTTGGGTGGGGACTGCAAACAAAAACACAGAGCAATCAAAATGCAGAATGAAACAGAGATCGTATTAAAAATATAACTCCTTTTCTTGGTCACCTCAGACAACAAGTATGCAGCTAACCCTACCCACCCAACTCTGCCCTCCACGCCATCAGCCTAAAAGCAAGCCAAAAGCCACTTGTCTGGGCTTTGAGGGAAACACGGGCATAATTATGAACTTTGTCAATGGTTTGGAAGAGTCTGGCCTGTGTTCTTACTTTGTTAACATAGAACACATCTCCTGCTTATCGAACTTCCCTACACTGATACAGTTCAAGGTTTCTTGTTTTAACAATTCAATGACCAGCCTCATCCTGCCTTTCATATGACTGAGCTGGCAGGTTGGAGAGAAACCTTCCTGGCTTCAGCAGAAGCACTAACCATGGTCTTTGTCATCATGAAAAAGAGTTTTTCCCTGTAGTCCGAGACAAGGACCCAAAGGGAAAACCCCTCACCAAGGCTAACCTCCTCCTCATAAATAAAGCAGGAGCATGTGTGTGTAAAAAAGGCTTCAAGCTGTCTGTGCAACACCTAGCAGAACGGTGCCCTGATTTCAATGCATTAGCTACAACTAAAGAAGGTAACAATATCACTTCCATTAATTAATATTATATAATGAGCTCTTTCATGTCAATGAAAGTGTTTGTTGTCAATTTAACCACATGCGGCAAATTTAAGCACATTCATTTTCTTGACCATTTGAAGCAGCAAAGTGTAGTTAAGCCAGTGTCGTCTTAGTGCTGCCTGTGATTTGCCTAATGGTAAAATAAGGTACTTCTTATGTCAAAACTAGTTATTTAACAAGTGGTTCTACCTGTGGGAAAACTGGACTGTATCTCTCTGCTTTTGAGAAGTGGCTTCTCTCGAGCAACTCAAGGAACTTGGACAACAGAATACACTCTGTATTCACAAAGCTGGTAACCGTTGCCATCATGTACTCCATGTCTAACAAACCAAAATTATTTCTTAATATTACCTTTCTGCTCTCTTGCATTTTTATATCCTTCATCACAGTATTTCAGCAAAAACTGAAGCAAGAGTCACTTTTCCCCAATAAAACACTAAGGATTTATTAGTTTTTGTGCTTTGATTTGCATTAGGCTGTATGACATTTTGATGCAAAGGCTGTCTGTCATTTTGATGCATTGCATACTTCTGAACAGTCAACAGCTGTAGTGCTGTTCCAAACACTCCACTGTCTCTCCACTCTTTAAAGAGTAACAGAACAGTAGGGTATCAGAGATCATCATGAGACAGCCTCGACTAGGTTTAGGTAAAAACCCAGCCCAAACAAAAAAAAAACCAGAAAATTTTCCAGCAGAAACTGTGATAAAAGCAGAGATGTTTCAAGTTCCTTATCAAAAATTATGGTTATTAGGTCAAGATATTTAATTCTGATTTGCTTAATTTTTTTTTATAATTCCTATTCAACTTCATCAGTTGAGAAATGTACTTTCGTACTTGCACGAAATTATGGGCATTTTCAGCAAGGATTAAAATGCCCAGATTTTTCTAAAAATTACTATTGTATCATTTAATCTAATTGCTAAAAAATTGCAGTCAAAATGAAGTCTCCTGGCCTTAATGCAATGACCTGACTCAAAGGAAGAAAAAACCCCTAAATTACATTAGTCGAAATTATTTCTATTTAAAACTAGACCTAGTTGTTTTCTGCCCTGTTCTGCATTAGAATAATTTTGCTTTTCTCTTAGAATGGGCTGCAGCTCCATCCTGGGATTGGTTTATTGTTTGACAGCCCTGGTCTTTGATCGCTAAACCCTACTGCGAGAGGCTCTCAAACAGCAGGAAGGGCACAGTCTAACAGAGTCCTCTTGAAATCCCTGTTATGGGAAGGGTAGGCAGCAGCACTGGGGAGCCCAGGGCAATTGAACATTAATGTGTTTGAGCATCTCCACGCAAGAGGCGATACACCAAGCGCTCACTTACCTCCAGCATAACCACGCATATTTGCTTCACACACTGGATAATGGCATCAGGAGTGCCTGAGATAGTCACTGCACGCTCTGTTGAGTTCGGCAACATGTCCCCTGCGACCTGCACCTGTGCTCCTGTGGACTTGAGCAGAGACAAAGCACAGAGAGCGTCACCATCGGGCAGGGAACAGCACCCCTCCAAAGCCTGATGTGACGGAGGGGATGCACCTCCAAACTTTTAATCTTTTCTTTGCTGGATATGTGATAACGTATGTATGTCAACTCATGCCCAGACAGCGTAATTGGGGTCTGTCAGGACATGGATTTGCCTGTTCAAGGCAATCTGCAAACACTCCCGTCCTAAGAAGATTAGTCCCCAGTAGCTGCTAATGAATCAAACTGTGACCTGGATTTCATGACAAGTCTTTTAACCCTCTCAAAGACAGGCAGTTGCAATGCTGACTAAAACATGGAAAAGGTGAAACCAAGAATTTTTCAACAATTAAAAAAAAAACAAAAAAAAAAGAAAAAAGTTAAAAAATGCTGACAACCAAAGAAGTCCTGCTAATCCAATGAGCTGCAGATAAATGGCTCTTTAATCCACTGACGGCTGACTTGTGTACGTAGGTGAAATCTGGGGCTGCCTTATCTCTGCTGTACCTCAGGATGGTACAGAAGCACTTCTAAATTATAGAGTTGATTAAATATATGCACATTATCAACTTTTAGCTCATGAATGAAGTCAAGGAAGCAATGAGCCAGTTTTGTTTTCTCTTTTTATAAAATTTGATCTTGTCACTAATGTATCTTTGTTAACCAAAAGAAACCAACCCCCAAAACCAAAGAAAGAAAAAAATGAGGCTAAAACAATCCCTGGCACTATTTCACAAGCATCCTGGAAGACCTTTTCTGTCAATAGAGAAACCCTGGGCATTTAGTACTGAGTTAGCACTTTCATGTATTCCAGACAAAATACATTCCTGACTGTTACTGCAATGCAATTATTTTGGGCTTCTAAAAAACCCTGTATTTTCAGCAATCACCAACTTTATGTCAGACAGCAAGGAGTTAATTTGTTCTCCTGCTGGTTACATACAACACATGCTATTCTTCTTTCCAAAGACTGATTAAATTACTGATTGCATCTTCTGTTCACTAGTGCTGTTTAAGGCCAGAATATCAATTCCTTGCTCTATAATAGGCTTTGGAATTTCACCATAATTTGATCAATCAGTCATGCTTTTCTTTTCTTTGTAAGCTTATCCTGAAAACAGTTCTGCAACCCTACAAGTTACTCCTGGGTACATGACTGAACACAAAAGACCATCCCTCATGCTGCCGCTGCTCCGTGTTACATGACGATGAAATCAGACCACATCTCTGGATGCTCCTTTTTCTTTTTTTGTTTGCTTGTATTTGCTGTTTAAAGCACAGTTCTGGGTATCTGTACATCTAGCACAAAATACTCTGCCAAATACAGTGGTCATTTATGCATTTGCTTCTGGTGCCAATCTTGTTTATTCTTTGACTTTGGTCACACGTCAGCAATGAGAAAACGAGTAATATTTTGTCTGTTACCCTTACGCTGAAGAAAATGTGCAGTGTGATTTCTTGGTACCCTAGCCTTATCAAAACACCCTGTTGTCCAGACACTGTGTACTTCTTTGTACTAGACTAGTAGGTAATTGCTTCTGAAACTACGCTCACCAGAATAATCCCTTCAGTCATTTATTTAATGCACACAGACCAACAGACCAATCTCACCTTTAAAAACTGTCCCAAAAAGCACTCAGTACTCTGGATGAGGTAAGTGATATATAAAATCCAAAGTATCAACAGCTGTAAAACAAAGAGCTAAGCACTTACCAGCACATGGCTCATACTCACGCCTGCTCCAATTTTAACACAACTAAGAAATCAGCTGCATTTCTGCTGCCTGACAGATCTCCTGGACTCCTAAGAGATCTGGAGGACCAAGAGAAATCATGTCTCATGGCTGAGGCCACCTCTGACCATGTGCTCTGACAGTAGTTCTGCCTTCTCCAGTGGCAAGGCTTTAGCCTGTCTTTGCCTGCTGCCTGCCAGGGCTGGAGCATCAGCTGCAGGGTAAGCTTGCTGACTCACCCTGACATGAACTCCTGAAAAGACTGGCTGTCCTGTGGCCATTCAGAATCTGAGCCAGGAATGCCCTGTGTGAAAGGTAAAGTGTACACCTTCCTTCCACCCAGGAAATGCACTTCAGCAAACAAGTTCTCCCTTCTACACGGAGTTCTCTGACAAAGGTTTTTTGGGATTAAAAAAAAAAAAAAAAAAGGGTCATAGAAAACCTGTCTGCACAAAAATAATGTTTTCTTCCTCTCAAGTGTCATCAAGCGACTCCTTCCCCACACATCTCAAAAGCTGGTTTTGGCTGGGATAGACTTAAGAAAGCATAACCAGGGCAGATGACCCACACTAGCCAAAGGGATATTCTATACCACAAAACATTATACCCAGTATATAAACTGGGGGGGGGAGGGGTTAGCTGGAAGGGGCTGTTTTACTGCTTGGGGCTGGGCTGGGTACCAGTCAGTGGGTGGTAAGCAATTGCGTTGTGCATCACTGCTTTTTATTGTTGTTTTAGTTTCTCTCTCTCTCTTTCCCTTTTCATTGCTTTTATTAGTAGTAGTATTGTATTGCACCTTATTTTAATTATCAAACTGTTCGTATCTCAACCCACAGGTTTTACCTTTTTTCCAATCCTCCTCCCCATCCCACTGGGAAGGTTGGGTGTGAGCAAGTGCGTGGTGATAAGCTCCCAGCTGGGGTTAAACCATGACAACTACTAAGAAGCACAGCTCCTGGACTCTTTGATGAAAAATAAAGTAAGGGCATTCCAAGAAAAAAAGCCAACTGATTTGTTACTGCCTTTTACTTGCAGGTCTCAGTAAGCACAGAGACCCCTTCAAACAGCAGGGCACTTTGTTGTTTTTCTGTGAGTTTACAGCAGACAACCTGCGCACGTTTACATAAACACATCCCACAAAGTCAGATGCACATGGAGGAATATGTTGTTTACTTGGCAACAAAAACTCTGGAACAGCTTTTGGCAGCTCTGTCAGCTAATGGAAGCACTACATGCTTCTTTCACTTCCCTGCAGGCAAGGAGAGAAAAGGCCCTTTCAGTAGTGGCCAAATCCTGAAAGGTGAAGATAAGCCTTCAGAGGGAATCTTGTTAAAAAAAAACTCCCAGGGAAATCAAATGTGAATCCAAATGAAATAATTTGGATGAACTTGAAAGTCAACAAGGATGAGACCCCTAACCATCCTTTATAATCACCTTTCCTTCCAAGGCTGCCATAAACTAGTATTTCATAGCAAATGCCACTCATATAATTTTGATAAAGTATTTTTCACTCCTTCTTGACACCCGATTGAATTTTCTTTGATAGAAAATCATCTGGTAACTTTTCTGTATATTTTTTTTATGTCCTGGTTTAAGCCCAGCCAGTAACTCAGAACCATGTAGCCGCTCACTCACTTCCCCCTTCTTCCCCCACCCTGCTCCCAGAGGGATGGGGAGAAGAATCAAAAGAATGTAACTCCCATGGGCTGAGTCCAGTAACTAAGGTATAACACAAACCACTGCTGCTGCCACCTATAATAATAAGGATAAGGGAAATAACAAGGGGAGATAATACAACCGCTCACCACCCGCCAACCAATACCCAGCCTGACCCGAGCAGTGATCTAGCTCTTCCAGGTAACTGCCCCCAGTTTATATAGTGGGCATGACATGCTGTGGTATGGAATACCTCTTTGGCTAATTTGGGTCAGGTGTCCTGGCTCTTCTTTCTCCTGGCTTCCCCGCCTCCCTGGCAGAGCATGAGACTCAGAAAGTCCTTGGTCAGAGTAAACACGACTTAGCAACAACTAAAATCATCGGTGTTATCAGTGCTGTTCCCAGGCTGAAAGTCAAAACCACAGCACTGCAGCAGCTACTAAGAAGGAGAAAAATGACTGCTACTGCTGAACCCAGGACAAAATGAAATGTAAAAGCTCAATAAAACCTACTGTATTGAAGCTACATTTAAGATAAAGAAAAGGAAGTTTCAGTTTGGTAGAGCCTGTCAAGAGCTTTTGTTTTGATACAGTCAAACAAAAAAAAAATTGATCAGCATGTTATTTTGTTATTCAACACCTCATCCCATGTTGGAATGAAAATATATTTAAAAAGAATACTGTCACTGTTTCCAGAATAAAAATTCATTCTGAAATGTCCTATTCAGATTTTCTCTACATAACTGAGCATGTACCTAATCTCCTTGTTTGACTAATTGCAAACACTGGATCCTTGGCTTGGCATGTGCTATGTTGTTACAGTCATGGATGGAAGAATTATACCTGGCACTATATGGTAATTTTTTGGAGGAAAAAGTGGCTGCTAGCGCAGCACATTGAATGATACCTTTAGATAAAGGTCAGGATTAAAAACAATCAGTATATTTGGAATACATGAAATCAGGTCACCTGTGACACAGTGAGATTAGGGAGCTAGGGAGAAACAGGAAAGGAGCATGAAAGTAAAATGCTACTTGGGCCTTTCTCTGGCTGCAAGGGTGGTAACTGATTTGGAAATGGCTGCAGCACTCTGACTTGGGAATCCCCTGAGTACTGGTGGGGAAGGGGCTGTGCCTGAAGAAAATCTTGACAAGCATTGCTGTCACTAACCTGTCTCTTTGCTATATGCTTTGCATCAAAGGCTAATACGTTGTAAAGCTGTTGTTTATTTCACACACGGTCTTACCCTCAAGGAAAGTGCGAGTGTACAGCTGTGCTTCCCCCAGAGCAAGGCTTTTCCAGGCTTTTCGCTCAGAACATGCTTATGTCTGTGCGATGAGCAAAGTGCAGTGGATGATGCACTAGGCTGGCAAGATGTCATGCTAGCCAGTGTCCACAGCAGACATCTCAAGACTTACCTCCCTGATTTCTTTGATTTTGGAACCTCCTTTTCCTATAAGGGATCCACACTGACTTGCCGGGACGACGAGCCGCAGTGTTACAGGCGGTTTGCTTGTCACTGTGCTGTTTGTCATTGAAGCGTTTATGTCCTGTAATCACAACGTCAGTGAGAATTAGCAGAGGATTTGTCATTCCTGGTAAGCACTGAAGGGCTCAGAGCAAAAGCCTGGGCTGTTTCTGGAGACCTGGGGAGACTGCAACCATGTGCAGTTTGTTTCTGTTTCAGGTAAAGCTGCTGGCTCTGCTGGTGATATGCCTTAAGCACGAACCACACAAGCAGCCTGTGCCAGAGGAACCCTTCTGCTGTCTGCCATTGCAGGTCCACACTGTGGGACCTGAGGACAGCCTCTGAGGCAAGGCTAGGAGGGGGAGGTGGTATTTGTCATTAGACCACTCAAAGCAGATGGAAAAGACAGAGGCTTTTGAGTTCACAGGCCTCCCCAATCCCAATTTGGTCTCTTTTCCACCATCTCAATTAGAACATATATACTATATGATAAATTTCAGGCAATTTCTTGTCAGATTCAATACAGAGAACAAAGGTTAAAAAAGGGAACGACAAAGAATCTGTGAATAATCTGAAGCAGAGAAAATCTGATTGTAATGATGAATATTTTGCTGCCCTCCTCCGCTTCCCACCCCACCCTCCCCAGTTTAATTTCTGTTTTGTAGCAGATCCACAAGCGTTTGTAGTGCTACATCTAAAATTTTCTTCCATCTCAGCTGTATAACCAGAGTACAGAGATCAGCAGAACAGCAATTGCCTGTATCCAGGTAATGTATCCTATATCCCTGTATCTCATTATTCAATGCTTATGAGACCTATAAGTTTTCATGAGCATTTCAATATGCTACTTGTTGCAAGGTGTACATTGTTCTATTTTGTTTGTTGAAAATCTTCTAGGCAAGACAAACCAATCCCTCTACAATCTTCAATACAGAGGAAAAGATAAAGCTTATGTTCCCGCTGATTGATGGGATGCTGTTGAGAACACTTAGGATCACAAAAAGAGCCACAAGCTGCATGATGCCTGTCCAAGAAGTTTTGAGACTCTCTAATGTGGTTTACTAACACTAGCTGTGAGCTGAAAAGACCATCTCATCCATCTGTGAGGTGGCATGGCACAGCTATTATATCCTTGACAGAAATGCTACCTAAAAGTTAGGACACTAATGACAGAAAACATGCAGTTCATTTAACTCATTCATGATGCAACAAGAGTTCCAGCAGACACAACTGATGTGATTCCCTACATTCTCACCACATGCTTAAAAACAAGAAGTGAAAAAGTGACTATGCTGTGTGATCAGGAGCTCAAATTAATAAAAAAAAAAAAAAAAAAAAGAAAAAATACTTTAAACAACTCCGCATGCCTCATTGAACTGGTGCTGGAGCTCAGTGACACCAGTTGGAGCTCAGTGACACTGATTCCTATGGTACCTCCACATTTGTGATGGCAGCATTATTCCATCCAAGAAATGACTTGGTGTGACCTTGCTTAGCTTATAAGAGAAGAAAAAATCTCAAATGGAATGAGGTATTGCTGCATGCCACAAGACAGATACCAAATCACTCCTCTGTCAGCCAGTAACTCACATTTTGTTTAGTGCCTGTGTCAGTGAGAGATTGCAATCTCAAATAAAGTGAGAGGGATAACAGAATTTTGCAGCACCCATGTATCTGAAATAAAGCCTAAGTCATGCCAATTTTTCAGCTGGAAGATGCCATCTCACTATATCATGTTTGTGTCAGGTGGAGGCACACGATCATCCAGATGTGATAAATAACCCTCTTCAGCCACCCAGCACGACCCTGATAATGTCTTTCACTTCCATACCATATGCGACCTGACCTCAAAGTCTTCACTACACTTAGTGCCTTCAAAAGCACTTCACAAAAATTGGAAGCTGCTATTCTCATTGTTTTCTCCTTGTTATTTAAAAAGAGCAAAATCTAAACATGCAGGCGTGGAGTGCATTAAGGAGTTAGTCCTGCTTAAAAAACAACAAACAAGAAAGGACCAGAAAAACATCCTCTCCCGAACTGCAGGCTCCCAGGTAGGGCTGGCTGGAGATTGTCTCACAGAACAGTTGGGTTTCAAACTGGGGGATTACCATATCTTTCACCTCTTAACTTTCTGCGACACTGCATACATTTCCTCTGGCAGACACTAGAGCCAGCTCTTGGATGGTCTGTGAGGTGGCTCCACGCTGGGTAACCACCAGCACAGGGTTTACTGTAGTTGTAGTAGGAAGAGTTAACCTATGCCAAAAATGCATCATTTCCAACAAAAAGTTATGCATGAAAAAGAACATTTGGTAGATAGCTCATTTGTAATTTGTGAAACAGTACTTTATTTTGCCCCTAAAGTGTTAAAGTTACCTCATTTTAGTGACAGGAATAATTATAGGAAACTTTAACTGGTTATATGAGACGTATTTCCTTACCCCTGTTCTTCTAAATATATGAGAAGTCAATTATATTAAAACTAAATACAGATATTTCAGAATATGTAACTGCAGTACCTGCAGTTATACTCCTCTGCTAAAACCCACATGAAGAGTCCAGACTAGCCTCTATAATCTACAAGGGTAAATATGCATAAAATCCAGTCAAATGCCTGAACTTCGTATTTCTTTGCCTATTGCTAGCTATAGCATTTTCAGAGACTATGCTGTGTTGGGTGGTGGGGTGAGGATCCAATGCTGTGCAGTGGTCTATATTTTTATGAGAAATGCAGTGCTGTTTCCACTGGGTACTCATTTTGGTGGGAACTGCTGGGGATTATCACTGTTAATGATTCCCTCAGCATTCTTCAGGATAAGGCCCTAAACAGAACATGGTTTTTGTGCAGAGAGGCTGCTCTCTCCAGGTCTCAGTGGACTGGAGGATATGGTACCATACACAAAGCTGCTTCGTAAGCTTAGAAGAAAAAAGGATTGGTACAAGATGGGTAGGAGATAAAGCTGAGATAAAAAGATGACTACAGGTGGTTTTAAAATTGGGCTGGGCAGAATTATTTGTATGGTTCTGCAGGATTCAACCTCAAAATTGTTATCTCAGTAACTGCTAAGGAAAAGAATTAGCATTCTTATAAAATGTACTATGCAACAAAATCAGAGTACTTTAACATGTTGGAAGACTGGTGTATCACACAGAAGGTCTGAAAACCCGTGTGGGACTGGAGCAATATAAATGGGATTAACAGTTGCAGTATGAAAAATGTGGCATTTGTCTGGGGGCTGACAGGAATGTTGTCTGAGACTGAAGAGATTCCCACTGAGAACACCTGAGCAGGAGCTGGGTATACCCACGAGGCACAGGATGGCTGTGTGCAAAACATTACAATAATAGGAAGTGAAGCATTTCCAGCAGCGATAGGAACATGTTAACTAGGACAGGGGACTGTTAGAGCCATTAAATAAGCCTTTTTGGAACTCCATTTGCAACCTGTCCAAGATTAACATAAACAAAAAGCTAGAAAGGGATTACTAAAGTCACAAGAGGGGTAGAAAATGCATCCTCTGAAAGACTGAGCTTGGCTCACCTACCCTGCAAAAGAAAGGATGTGAGGGGATAAAACTGTTTTCTAAAAATGAGTCTAAGAGGGGAATCCTCAGGGATGGAAAGGCAAGAATTATTTAAACTAACGGCCAGTGCTGGCACAGAAACAAAGCTGCATAATCTGTTCATGAATAAATTCTGGTGAGGAGTGAAAAGGTGTCCAATTCTCTGAGAAGTGACGTTGTGGATCCAATATCAGGGAACAGAAAACATCTAACTAGTTTCTGGTCATGCTGTGAAGTTGCAGGTTGCAAAACACATCGCTTTTGCTGGATGACAACTGCATGTGATGGCCTATAAACTCTTTTATAGTCCTGTTGCTCTAAATGTGAGCAATCACCATGGGTAAATAAAGGCACACACTGCCATTTACCATCAATGCCAGCATTTCCGAGTGCTAATAACCCCACTGACTTGAAGAAATAAGCACTCTTAAGAAAGAGATTCATATCCCTCTAGTTTAATCATCAATGGAGAGACACAGTCCCTTTATCCTGCCGCAGGTAAGTCAGTCCAATAGTCTGCAGGCTCTTCCTTTAGGAAAAGGTGAGCTGCCTTCCGCAGGGGCCTCTGTCAATCTACAGAGGACAGGAGAGATGCCTGGACTAGACGTAAGGCTTTCAGAAGCAGAGGGAGTTAAATCCTCTCCTGAGTAACAAGAGTTTGTATTCTGTAGTCTCCTGTCTTTTCTATGAGGTTTCCCATTAAAGTGGTGACCATATCTAATTGTAGTTGTTTCATGACAGTTGAGGAGATCCCAGCACTTTAGGTATGTATCTGCACAGATCAGTTTTTCAATAGTAAATTGAGCTCTTGCCTCACTCTTAGTGCCTTTATTTTAATTAAATTAAAGCTAAGCTTTAAATATGGTAATCGGTAATCATATAGTTTGTTTTTAAAATAAAAAAAAATCTATTTAGATGAGTTCCATATTCATTTTGACATATATAAATTTTACATCAATACCAAATGGAATCATATAAAAACAGAACTAAAATTTAAGCAATTATTCTTTTCAAATCAAACCCACAATGGGACAAGAAATTTTCCAAGACATTTTTCCTACCATTAGTGCACATTACTAGAAGCAATTGCTTTTCCCTGAAGCCTCCAAAAAGCAAAAGAAATGATCAAACAGCTTGCAAATTGACCCATTATTTTTCTTCAGCATTGCTGCCAAAAGCATTTATAAAAATACAGCCACTTTCATTGCTATTAAATAGAACATTAAACAAATAATACTTAACATTAAAGCAAACATGAGAAAATTCAAACGGTGTTTGTATTTCAACTTGAAGAGAGAAAAAAACGCCTTATTTTATTTCCTTACCTCTTCAAATTTTAGTGCAATCATAGAAAAAGCTTTAAAAATTGCATCTGTTGGGCCTGTTATTGTCACAATTCTCTCTGGACAGGAGCCTTCTGAAATATTGATTCGAGCACCACTCTGTCAAAAAGAACAAATATTTTTCAAATTTATACTTCCCAGGGAACAAACTAAGCAGGATTAGGGATACGGTTTGGGAAGCAATATCTTAAGGCTTCTAATTCCCTCTCCTACAAGTACAGCCCAAACATTATATAATTTCAGAATAAACACTCTCCAAAAATTCATCTAACTGGGAAGCCAGATTCTGTCTGGGTAAACACTTAGACAGCCTTCTTCATGGTATGCAAATAGTGCTTCTGCAACTGAAAGTTGTGAATAATGGCACAATCAAGTCTTTTCCCTTTCCTCTTGCTGGGTTTACCTCAAATAGGATCGGAGCTGCAGAATTTCACACAAAATTGGTTTTCTCCAGGGAGCATCTCCCAGGGAAGACACACCTCTCTGCTTTAGAGACCCAAAGGCAGGGTCTAGACAGCGCACTGCTTTGTACTGTGGAGAAGACTCTTCATAGATGCGTCTCCTGCAAAGGCAGTCAATTACTGTGCACTGAACAACCCTTTAAAGGAGTACTAGTAGGACAGGCAACAGTAACAGTGTTATTTCCTTCAGGCAAGGAGCCTACTGGAAGGAGTCAGAAAACTTTAAAGCTTGGAGACAGGGCAGAAGGGCTCTTCGTATACTTAGTCCCCTTTATGCCACTGTGGCAGTGCAGAGAAAACCCCTAAACCAGACATAAATACATTTAAGAGTATCTTGGTGTAGATAATGATCAAATCCAGTTCAAGTAAGACCCACCCTACACTTTCCCTAAGGTTTCAGGCATGAAAATGTGCTAAATGCAGCCTAAGGAGTCACTGGAGCCTCCACTCATCCACAAGCACTGACCTCCCTGAGGATGGCCTGTAGCCAATGTGGGATGGGGTTTGGATTAACTTGGCTCTTTGTCTTCAGGATTACCACAAATCAGCTGATGTGCTGTGTGTCTGAGCCCTTATTCACGTCCACACTGCTGTTCAACAGCAAGATATTGTACTCATTTAAAGGAGGACCAAGTTATAATCATGTGGAACATAGCTTCTTTGTCCTGTGCTGATATAAAGATGCATATAATTCCTTTATTTAAAATAAAACCCCACCAATCAAATAAAGCCTCTTGTGAACTCCTGTAGATTTTTCAGGAGTGGAAGAAGAACACTTGATAAACATCCTGAAAAACTAACCAGGAATCATAACTCTTCTCTAAGATGTTTAACTTGGAAGTCAGGAGCACGCTCCTACGATGGCTTCTCTTTTGTGGATGCAAATTATATCCAAAGATATATGCCCATTATCATAATTAATCATAAAACTAAAATGTGTTTAATCAACTGGCAGGATTACCTAGGATATTGGTTTTCTTTTTACTTCCACTTTTTCTTAAGCCTTAGCAAACGTACTTATCTGTAAAAACATGTGTGAAAACTCTTATAATCAAAACTGGGGCTCTGGACTCAGTCAGCCTGATGACAAACTCCCTATTGTGTATATTAAAGATGGATCTCAGCAATTTTCTTTACTACAAACACTTTGAGATTTCCCTGCCACAGATCTTTTATCAGCGCATAAAACAACAAAGCCGCTGACATAGTAATATACTGCAGGTTTACCAGAACCAAATGGACTTTTCTTGAGGCATCCTCTATACACTCTGCACTCCTAAAGTTTTGAAGAGTAGGATTTGTCTTTTGAGCTATGCTTTTAGCACTTGTTTCAAAGAAGGAAAATTACATGGATTTCCAAGATGTGCTGCCTTGTAGGACAAGTGCCGGTCTGTAACCTCTACCTGGGCACAATCCTCTGAAGACAATGCAGCTTTCTCTGCAGAAGGGAAGGATGCCTGTGGACAGTGGGGAGACTGAGGTTTATGTAGTGCCCTGTTTTAGTTAGCTATTTTGTGTTTATGACCTTTCCAAAGGATGTGAGTGGTCTACCCTGCTCACATCCTACTCACAGGAAGTTAAGGCTTTGTCAAGACATGGCAGAGGGATACTTCAGGTTACACAAGTCTGGCTACAGCCCTACTGAACCCTGTGTCTACCCTCAAACTTTATATGCATCAATCTAATGCTTGGTTTCAGATTTTGGAAACTTTCTACAGGAGGCCAAGACACGTGCAGGACCGATGTTTGCATGCTAAAGAAAGATACAGTGGTTTTAATCATGCTAGCTAAGCTGTTCCTGAGATAAGACAGCAGCAGGCGTATTGCTATGGGAATGAAAGACTCCAGACTGCTGCGGTGATAAGGTGGTTACATTAATAACAACGTTTAACTGAGGCCAGCACATTTACACACCACCACTTGCAAAGAATGGCGGTGTTAAACTAAGTGCCCACTTGATGGCAGTGTCGGTTTGCACACGCTGAATTTCGCTGTGAGCTGGAGTGAAAGGCAAGTAAAGACATCATCAAGGCTTGTCTTACCTCCTCCCTCATCTTCTTAACAGTCTCACCTTTCTGTTAAAGAAACAGAAAAAAGTTAGCCTGGACTGATGAAGTGAACTGATATACAATATTTTGACACGAAAATAAAGAGAAAAAGTAATTTCCTGACCTTTCCAATAATGCTTCCAACCTCCTGAAACAGAAAAAAGAAGACACAGTGAATGACACGATTTGCTACAGAAGAGCATTTGCCCTGCTCCCAAGCTATTTCACTACCACTTATTTCAAACCTGCAATGTGAAGCATAGCCCCTTCCATTGTTGCTGTATACAAATACGCTATATTAGATACAAAGGGGCAGGCTAAAAATGCGGTTTTGCAGCCTACTGATTGCACAAGAATACCTTTAACTGAAGCTGATCTTGCAGATACAGATCAATCCTGCAATTATAAACACAGATAAACCCCTATCAGGGAATAAAAAGTTCAAAAATAACAGAACTGCACAACCTATTAGAGAAAATGAGACATAATACAAGCATCAAAATAACTTCAGATCTCACTGACAGCAAGCATTTACCCTCTTTACACCATGTAATAGCCAGAGCTGTCTTTCCATGCTACTGAATATTATTGTGTAAACACCTGGTGGCCTGTCTTAATCTCCGTGTTAAGCACTTACAGAACAATAACTGCTAATCACTTTTTAGGGATTTGGGAATTGCTGTTGGGCTTTCACAATCTTCCATGAAGGGACAGACTGAGAAATGTGACTGTGAACATAAAATAGAGGAACACTTTGGCAGTTCTGGCAACATCCCGAGGGTTGAAAACTCAATGAATAAAACCAAGAGATAGCAAAACTGAAGCTAATAACTCTAAAATGAATAGCCTGAGCATGTTACACAGATCACACAGGTGTGACATCAGACTGGAAATCATCTGATGGAGAGGAGACCAGCTAAAGGAAAACAAGCTCTTCTCCTTTACCCAGACTGTGAAATCTTCTTCAATGGCTAAAGACCATCTCACACGGCTCTGTCCCAGACATGATATACAGTCGTGTGTCCCCGCCTTCCCCTAAGTCTGACCCATCCTGAAACACAGGCCAAAGAGCAGGATTTAAGAAACTAACCTCCACTGCTCTGTACAATGATGGACTCAAAATAAAGTGGTACTAACTTCACCCTTCAGTAAATAACTACCTGCAGCGACCTTGAGAGAGCTATTTCTCACCAGTTATTCATAAGCTTATAATACGAAGCTGCTTGTGCTTGCAACTTCGCACATCCTGCCCACTAGATATAAAGACTTTTCAGGGAGCAGACCACCTATCTCAATTAAGAACTTTAGCATATGGCTCCTCTGCACTCTCTGCAAGTGTGCACGTAACACCAGACTGGGGGAAACAGTCAATGTACTGCTGGACACGGCTGCTATTTGGAGTCTCACCCAGACAGGGTGGAGAAATTGGCTGAGAAAAACCTCAGGGAGCAGAACAAAGTAAAATGAAAAGTCCCATTAAGTTGGGCAAAAACTTGTTACAAACTGGCTTTGTAGAAAAAGTCCTGGGGGCCCCAGTGCACAACTCCAACACAAGCACATGAGCTCATCAGCAGTGCATCCCTGATGAAACAAATGCTGGGCTGTATCAGCAAGAGTGTAGCCAGCAGGCTAAGGCAAATGATTCTTGCCTTCTCCTTGTGTCTGTGAGGCCATGCCTGGAGGATTTTGTCCTATTTCGGGCTCCCAGTAGAAGACAGACAAGGACACACTGGTGTTAATTCAGTGCAGGGCCAAGGTGGTCAGGGAACCAGAACACAGGACACATGAGGAGAGGTTGAGAGAACTGCATGCATTTGTTGTTAGGAAGAGAAGATTTGGGAGGGCATCTTATTGCAGTTTACAGGAAAAGGAAATAAGGAAAGCAAGTTGCAACATCAAATTCCTACTTGACATGAGGAAGGATTTTTTACTATGGGGATGGCTGAACATTGGAACAGGTACCCAGAGAAGATCCATCCTGGAATCTCCATCCTTAAAGGTGTCCAAAACCAGCCTGGGCAAGGTCCTGACCAATCTACTCAAATGGGATCTTCTTGATTCAGGTCACACTGGAGACCTTTGGGAGTTCCTTCCAACCTCCAAGGGCCTGTGACTCTTCAAGCATGGCCTTATATCCACTGAAGTAAATGCCTAACTAGCCACAGAGTTCCTCAACCCATGGAGGCCCTTTCTCAGGCTTATTTTTCAAACCTTACTTTTTCTGTTCTGAATTTCCCTTTCTTATTTCCCTTCCTACTTCTTTTCCAAGGTAAGTTTCTGCTCTCTTGTACATACTGACCAGAGAACAGATACTGTCCGGACAGGAACTGCAAATCTTACAGAGGTATCTGCCTTGCAAACTTCTGTTTCTGCTGGCTGATGTACAGTAGATCTTTGCATGTCACACAGCTCTGTGACTGTTCTTGCTAAAGTTCTCCATGTCTGCCTGGGACAATGAGGCATCTGTACATCTGTGCATACAATGTGAAGAAGCAGCTCTGTGAGAAGATGAATGAATGAAGCGTACTAGCTACAGTTCTGTGTCTTGTGACTAAATTACCCTGTGTCTCTTAATATGTGGGTTTAGGTCATGCCTTTTCCTATGGCTGAGACTGCTGTACCAGCGTGCTGTGTAGGCTCGCTAATGAATTGCAGCATTTTTGTTAGCAGTGACAAATTTGGAACACCCATTCCACAATATTTTTAAGATCTTACCAACTTTTATATTATCACTGTAACTGTTGAATGCAGTTGAACAATACAGGGAGCGAAATTCTCAGTGGTAAATCGTTCTGGGAGCCCCTCATGTCTAGTAGTTCCTATCTGCCCACTCTGCACATTCAGCAGTTTTGCCTTGAAAACTTTTGTCCATTCTTCTCGACCCCAGCTTTCAGAAATAGCATCTTTTGTAAAACAGATTCTTAGCAGGTAGAAGGACCTTTTGCTATGGGTGAGCATATTGTGTTTCAATTGCTATGGGCAAGCAATCGTATTTCAGTCCCTGGTATAATTTCAGTTTTTGTATATGAGAAGTTTCATTAGAAACTGTAGGCCTCATCTTGAATCTGCAAAGCTCTGTCAGTATACACTTAGGATGAAACCTGTCCCAGTCCATTTGATCATACTGGGTCTTAATGACAGATGCTGTTCTTTCAGAAATGTATGGATGAGTCATGGCTATTAAGTACAAAGATATCTTCCTTGGAAATAGGAAAAGATACTTCTGCTTTCGAAACCAAAAAGCAAAATGCCATTTGTAGCCCAAGTAAAAAATTTGGTCCATTTCAAACAAAGGAATTGGGAGTATTTAAACAAGCAGAGTAGAGCAGGGAGCCAGGATTAGGAGGAAAGAAACACTGCATTCACATAGATATTCCTATTCTTTCCAGAATTTTTGATCCCTTACAGATTATTTACAAATAAATAAATAAATCTAGAATAGTTCTAAATGGGTCATTTCAGAATCTTTTGGGGCTTTTTTAAGAAAGAAACTTAAGAAACATTTAAGAAAGCTCCCATAAGTACTGGTGTCTACAGATCATGTCTTTAATGATGAAAAACCTACTTCAGAAGACTCTTTACATCTCCTTCCCCAAACTACCAATGCAAACCTTTAGTGTTTCTTTATACAGTCCAATGTTTGTTTCATATAGATTCTTGTTTAGTGCTTAATGAAATACCTAACATCAGTTTACAACACTCGAGTTTTATCAGTATTCCTAGCCAAGTTTACTTTGAGTAACCATCTTCAGAAAATGTTTCTGCGCTTGCCAGACACCAAATTATGCTGTAGTTATCTGAGTAACACTGAAGGGATGAGATGCCTGTCACCTGCATCAGTTCACTGAAAGTCAGGAGTCCCATATAAGCCAGGCACACAGCCTCCTCTGCAACCCAGGGAGAGAGATAATGGAGGGTATTTTGTTCCTAAAAGAGGAGGGAAGAAGTGTCCTCCTGAGGGCTTCATCTTTCTCCATCTGCAGCAGGAGACGACTAGACTGACACTAACATACCTGAAGTTTGCTGAGAGGAATCCTACAGTTGATGTCAAATTCAGCCTCAGCCCAAGTCAGACAGGAGTTTGATTTAGCTCTCCTAGCAAACACCTACTAGAGTATGCTAATAACTCTTGGAAGTATTTGCTGTTTCCCGGTGCTCAGGACTATAAGCTAAAAGAAAGCACTTATGATCAATTTCAGATGGATTTATTGAGTAACTATCTATGCATAAACACAGTGGGTAAATTAGTTACATGGTAACAATTACTGGGTTTCATATAATCACACTTTAACAGCTGACGGAAAAGCAGTGTCCAAAAAAGGAAAGGAAGTTACAAATGAGGGAAATAAAGCTAAGAGGGAGAAAGACAGGTCCAAAGCAACCCAGCAGACTGATGCTGGGGCTAGAAGTACTACTCAAGCTCTTTGGTGTCAACATATGAACGTCCACCTGTCACAAGCAGATATGCCACAGCAATCATGATGGATGAATAGGATGCCTCTGAAAAGCTGCAAATGTGTGCATGCTTACATCCACTGATACATAAGCATAAATACACACACATTTACTTATTTGTATGTGAAGTCAAGATATACGTAAAGCCACTAGATAGATAGATACCAGCTTTCCTTCAAGAAATGACAGCAATTTGGGGTGCATATCCTGATATTCACCACATGAGCCTGAGTTTCAGGCCAGGTAATGCCTTCTGAAGGGCGTATCTCCAGGCATCTCAAGCATGATAATCTCACAGTTGGGCTCCAACAGCTTCACTCTGGAAAACCCCAGGGAAATTAGAACTGTACATACTGATTTCACATAACCTGAAAGTAATTCTCAAGCCCAGGGAGGGCTGGGTTGATTTATGACTACCATTTTCTTTAGTATGCTATCTCTAATAAAATAGATAAAACAACAAGAGGTGAATGTCACCAACAAACACTGGAAGGCTGTTCAGTATCAGTAAAGCGCATTGCTAGCCAACCACCCGATTCATTACAGATTAACTTGAGGAGATACAATGGTAAAAGCCGGAGATGCTTGCTTTCATGCTGAAATGCAGCATATAATACTATTTGCACATCTTATTCACACGAATGGGATGAGTTTTGTTCTTAAAGAGCACTTAAGTGTGGTGGGCCCATCAAA